TGAGGGGAGCGGGGACGCGAATGGGGGGGAGCGGGATCCGGAGTGACGGGCAGAGCTCGGCGGCAGCTCATGAAACTGGAATCACGGCGAGCTGATAGAAACCAAATGTCGAATGGAGCTGGTTGGTTCCACCATGAGCAGAAAGAGCTCTTGTACTCACTGGTCTCCTGACACAGGTCGGGTCTTCAAGGCTAAATGCAAACCCCTGTGGAAATGCCAGAGAGCAGCTGTCCGAGGGCTGAGCAAGCCTGGCATAGCCATCGGGAGTCCGTGTCTTCTTTTGCAATGGAGTGTGGGATGCGAGCTTTTCGCTAACCTTTCCTAAACAGCAGAGGCCCTTGGTCCTTTCAGTTTTGATTTGACCTGTCAATCACAGTTTGCCTGGCAAACAAAGTGGGGCTCAAACATAATTGTGCACACTGTAAAACACCAGCCGGCACAGCGGGTTTGTTAATCGAGGACCTTTAGTTGGGGCCTGTCCCATATTCGGATGAGCTTGCAGGCCATCAAACAGACTGGAGGATCTGGAGAACCTGAGAGATGTTTATGCCGTGATGTATCCAAGGGATGGGCATTTACCACGTTGCTTCTTACAGCGACAGAGGGGTTACAAGGAGCTGGGTAAGGTGTTTGAAGAGCCTACTTTCACTCCATCTCAGGATTCCGTGGGCTGAATTTATAGCTGGCTTGAATTAATTGTGTTTTAGAGAGTTCAGCAATTTTGTAGGTGATATTATCAAATTTTTTGCTCTTACTGACTGCTTCCATCTTCTCTTGGTCAGAATTGAACTCATAAAATGACTGGATTGTAAAATAACAGGTTCCCTAGCAGAGAAGTACATATTAAACCATGGGTGTGTCAAAATAAGAATAAAACTCAATTAATTAAATCCCATTTAGAAAACTGTAGAAATGTGTCACATAAAATATTTCCATATAGTAACTCGTCACTTTGCTGGCAGCTCAGTTTCAAGTATTTTTCAAATGTTGTGACTGACGGAGAATGAAAAGTGCTCTTCAAGACCAATGCTTTTCAAGTAGATTCAATTTCTCATTTTCCTTTTAAATTTTCGCGTTTTCATGTAAGGAATAGGAAATAAGAGGCATGTCTAGCCATTAAGTAACGCAACTCCTGGACTGAAAACATTTTGTCATCTATTGTTTTGCTTTGAACTCACTTAACAGACTTCCTTAACAAGCACACAGATGTTGCTGAGCATTGGCTTTCAGAGTGGGAATCGTAAAGGTAAACCAGGATATTTTGTCTCAGCAGAACATATTTTTGTCAAAAGTAAACCAAAGAAGAGAAAAAAACTTGTCTTGTAGCGATATTGTTGAGCAGACTACTGTCTGTAAAATGCATGGGACAGTCTATAAATCCAGAAGCTCAAAGGAAACCTCTATTGTAATTAAAGAGAAAACAAAATTAGTTTTGTTGTTTCCACTTTGATTTACCCTGCTCCCAAATGTTCTGCCCCTCTTGGCGTTTTCCAAACTTCTTGCCCCTACTTTCCTATTTTTATTAGATGGGAAGGCATTGTTGGGAAAGGCTTCCAGATTTCTGGAGATGTGAATCTGCATTCAGGACTAAAGCTTTGCAAGGTACAGTGGGACAACATGTGCCAAAAATAAAACCAAACTGGGATTCTAATATTGCAGAAAATTATGTTTTGTTAACCTCTTATCGAGGATGGATTCCTGAATGTTTTAGGTATGTTCTCAAGCAAAATACAAAATACTTAGAAATTAAAGATAGAGGAGAGTAGCTGTCAACTTGAGATTTGCATGTTCTCAGGGTGCATGCTTGCACACCCTGTGCTATCCTCTGCGGTCCCTGTTCATCTTCAGGGCTGAGTGTCCCCTCAGACAGCTGCAGATGGCTCTGAGCAAGTGGGGGTGGAGGCTCCTGGGCCCAAGGGCAGTGCTGCTGCCCAGCAGAGGGACTGGAGGGGCTTGAGAAAGGGGCGACAGGAACCTCCTGCAGGTCAGCCAGGAGAAGAGCCAAGTCCTGCACCCTGGGAAGAGTGAACTGGCAGGCAGAGTATTAATAGAGTGGCAGCAGCTCCCGCAGCAGTCCACTCAGCATTCCCTCCCCCCATACCACCTTGAGCATCACCTTAAATACCCTCACCATAGTAGCCCCTGAAATGCCCATTGACCACTTCACCAATATCCAAGCAAAGTTCGCTTGGTGCGCCCTGAGTGTCCACTGGCTGGTTCCCCAGTATCCCATCAAGATCTGCCTGGCATACCTTATCTGGGAGAGTAAGTCCTTGCTGTGTTATTGATTGTAACACTTTTTAGCTTTTTTGCTCCTCTGTGGCTTGCTAGGTGCTTTCTGGAGCTTTTTCAAACAGTTCAGCTCCTGCAGCAGTGTAGCTATTGCATCAAGACTTTTTAGCTCCATGCTTGAGGCAATGGCTAAGCAGACTTCATCTTTTAATCAGTCCTTTACAGGTGTTTTCAAGCTATTATACTGTGTAGCCCTTTCACAGTTAGACATTCACCTGGTGCTTAAGGTTGTTAGTGTATTTACACGTGTGTGTGTGTATATATGTATTTGCAAATTTTGTTAAGAATCCTTCAAATATCTGTTGTAGATATTTCTGACCTAAATTCCAGCTTCTGAAATTCAGATCTACTGAATAGGAAATAAAATAAACTTCTAAACTAAAAAAATAAAAAAGGAAGAAATATACTTTCTGTCACGGCCAAGACTGTATCCTAATACCTTTAATCTTTGGGCCAGAATAGAAATTATCCATGATTCAGAATTTTAAAATGACTGTTTCTGGACCTGCAATATCTGTTAGGTCAGTCTCATAAGACCCTGCTCAGACCTTTATCTGTTGTCTGTCACCTTCTTGACTTGCAGAATAGATATGGGATGGCTCCCCAGGCAATGGGGGTGAAGATTAATAGAAAGCCATATAGGTTTGCTGCAGATGATATGTTTTTATCACTTAGATTCTTCTTCATTCGTATGGCAAGAACAACAGGAACTTGACAAAACTACAACTCAATTTTCCCAAAAAATATAGAAGGCAATTTAACCACCTGTGCATTTTATTTTTTTTTCAGTCTGTGTGGAATGGCTGACGATTTCCCATAAGAAAATTCCTGTGGCACCAAAAATATAAGCACATTTATTTTTATCCTGAATAATCTTTTTCCATATCAATAAAAGAAAACACGATTTCTGATATCAATTTATTTACTTACATAATCAATATCTCCTAGAACTTGATTTAGTAAGCTCAAGTTTTCAGTAGTAATTCAATGTCAGTAGACTTGCAGTTCCTATCCATTAATGCAGGAATTTCTTCCATTATTTTCTAGATATTCAAGTGAATTAATATGTCAGTGTTTATAACTAATTATTCTGCGTTAGTTGCTTTTGGATTTTTTTTTAACAGTAAAGCTAGATATCTGAAGTATTTCTTTACCTCTGCTCATTTCCAAATTAATGAGTCTTTGTTGCATTTCTGAATTAACATCTGAGTAATATCAAGTCTGTACTTCCAGTGCATTTATAGAGTTAAAATGTGTAGCAGAATTTTGTTCGTACTTAGGAATACATTCCTGCATCAGTCCAATTTAGGACCTGGAAATGAGAATGATTTTTTATTAGGCTATGTCCTGCATGACATAGTTGCTATAAAGATAGCTGAGGAATGTATATATACATAGACATGAGTAAACAATTTTGGAGATGCAATAATGATGTCAACAAAAATAGTAGGATTGTGTAATAAAATATTATGTATATAGCAAGGGTACCAAGTAAAAACTTCTAAAAATTCCCAGTATTGATGTTTTATTGGTACCAGTTCTAAATATGGAGAAAAAAGTGCCTCTGGATGGATAAACTAAAGTTCTAAAGAACTTAGTATGAACAAAAGTCTCAAGAGTACAAGACATTACTACGTGAGTGGGAAGCCATGTTTTGTGCCTGTTCCCCCTGATTGATCATTTCTGGACATCTATCCAAAAAAGTCCACATGTCAGTGAAGAAAAGCTCACAAAAAATGAGTGTAGCTAAGACCTTAAGGCAAATTACAAATCATCTTGTGGTCCTTTTGGTCACAAAAGGATGATTGTCTTCAAGTTGAGGGAGAAGAAAGACACACTTCTCAATTGTATTCCTTGCTCATTGCAGGGGAGTTGGACTAGTGCACCTTTAAAAGGTCCCCTCCAACTCAAACTATTCTATGATTCTATGATAGATATATTTTTTAAAAGTCCTGAGCATTTTGATTTAGTGGCTTACTCTCAGTGAATTGTCTCACCGTTGTCTGACATGTGGTACAAGCAGGAACAGAGAGACCCATTGGGGAATGCACAACCTTTTTTCTCTTTCACCGAACAAAATTCTTTTGGAAGATAGATAGATTTCTATCCATGATTTGTGTAGCAAAAGCTATATTTAGCCATTGAAAATATATTACAACATCGATACTGACACTTAGTCACTTGATGAAGAAAGGAAGATGTAGATGGGGAAGAATTTAGAAGTGTTAAAACTGAGACTCCTGTACTTGCATAATGCAAACTGGCATTTCACCTCTTGGTGTCACTGCAGCACTTGATGTTTGCAATTACTAGTCCACGTTACTGTTGTATTTGGGGTTGTGGTTTTTTGTTATTATTATTATTTTTTTTGTGTGTGTGTTTGCTTGTTTTTGGTTTTTGGTGGGTTTTTTGTTTGTTTGTTTGTGGTTTTTTTTGTGTGTGGGGTGTTTGTCGTTTTTGGGGTCTTTTTTTTTTTTTTTTGGTTTAATGTCATTTTTGGTTTCAGGACTTTTTTAAACTGTAGTCACTGCAGCTGTTTTTAAACAAGTCAGAATAAAAGGTAGCGATTAAACTGAGAGCAGCTAATAGCTTTCAGGTCTGCCAGTGATTTTTGCCGAGCACTAAACCAGCAATGTGAAGCCTCAGGCACCAGATTGGTTTGGAATTAATCGATTCAGAGGTGGATAGGACTTAGAGAATTCAGAGTTTAGAAATCTGTCAAATCTATTATAGTAATTTGTGAACTTGCTCAGGTTCACAGTATTCTTCCTCTTGTGTCTATACCTGTTCCAATTCTTCTTAAAAATAAGTATCTTCTGACGTTTCTATATACATCTCTCTGTGAGGTGTACAGCATTTCACATACAAACTGTTTTCTTTAAAATACTATTCAGACTCTGAATTTATTTCAGGCAGTGATTTTGTCTGTGCTGTGCACCCTGCATGGGAGGTCAGATAGGGCTCCTGTCTTGCCCAGTGCCTCTAGGCATGAGAGCTAAATTTTCTATGAATTGAAGAAAGAAATAAAGGAAAAATAAATAATTCTACACTGAACCAAGAGGATCCTAAAATAGAGGCTGGTAGATGAACATGTGCAATGAGAGGCAATGAGAGCAGCAAGTGGAACTGAAATGGAAATGGTCAGCAATTTCTTGTAAATTACTTGTTTGGGATTAAGTGACTGAATCACCATGTTTGCATTGAAGATGGTAGACAAGGGGTTTGTCTTCCCAGAAAGGCAATGAGCCATGGGTCAGTGTGAGTGGAGGAAGGTAACTCTGTGGTACAGTTTGTATTAAATAGTACAGAGATTACATTTGCCCTCACTTCAGCAAAATTTAATTATTTATCGAAATATGTCAGATGATTATACTAATGATTATTTAACAAAAAGGGCTTTTGTTAAACTCGTGTATGAGGTCTTCATAAGTGCTACAGCACTCCAGTATCATGCATTGCTAAATGTCATGCAATACTCAGGAAACTGGGATACCTGCAGCAAATGATACAAGCAATAAAATTGCAACTTGGTCACTTATACCTTAAGAAATACATTTTCAGGGAATAAAATGGAACCATAAGTTGATGTTTGGATTTAACAAAATTTTAGTCCATGTTACAGAAACTTTTTGTCCAAGAACATAGAGCTTAATATTATCTCCATATCAAAGCAAGGAGAAAAAATGGGAGCCCTTCTGATCTTGAACAGCTTTAGACAAAATTAACTGGAATCAGTCTGGATGATTTTAAATCCATCACCCAGTCAGGAAATGCATAAATACAGAAATAAATATAGCCATTGTCCAACTCCGCTGCAAAGATAAATGAATGAAAGATGAATCTCATCTGAATGCTATATTATGACTGATAAAAACCAATCAAAAGCCTTGAAACACCTTTAAAATGGGCAGAAATGCGTCAGTAGGAAAACCAAAAACTGAAAAGCTACAAAATCTGCATAACGATCTTGGTCTGTAGTGGTCTTAATTACTCTAATTTAGAAATAACTTTGTCACACCATATTTTTAAAATATCAGACTAAAATTCTCTCTTGAAATAATTTTAATGCTGGAGACTACTATGAAAGTTATAATTGCTCTGTTCACTTGTTGGAACTCCTGGAAAGTGTAATTTAAAAGACCAGTTGCATTTTTGCTCATTCTATTTATACTAAACTTCCCATGATGGTGTTATTGCTGCACCACAAAAATGAAATAAATTATTTGGGTAAATATTTTTGTCTCTCTTTTTTAATTTTTTTTTTTGGTAAGAAGAAATAGTATGGCTCCCAATGAAAAAATTAAGTCAATAATCACTGTGCAATGCAACATTGCATCTCAAAAAATGTAACAATTATTAAAAGACAGCAAATAATTTTTTCTTCTGTGGGTTAGGTAATTGCTTTCCCATGTTTCCTGCTGTTCATGATACACATGCAAAAATATTTTTCTTTTTTTTTCTTTTTCCCCTATAAATTTATATTTGTAGTTGTACATTTGGTATAGTTCCAGGCTGTGCCAAAGTTTCCAGGTATACTGAAGAGTAGGTTTTATTCTCTTAACTCTTCTGAGTGACAGTTTTTTCCCCAAGCTATTAATTTATTCATTGGTGTCACCCATATGCACACAAATTCTTCCCCCTCCCTCTGAAAGTGTTCTGCAATATCTGATCCAGAAGAAACTTTCTTGTAGGAATTAATATGGCTAAGTTTATATATTATATGATATATTACATATATAATTATATGTCTTAAATAGGAATATATATAATATCCATATATTAATGCACAGATAAACAATTTGTCTAGGTAGCAAAACAAATAAGGTGAGTGTTTTTTTAGTCCCAATGAAAATTCAGTTCTACCACTAACATATCCAGCAGCATAAATGTCATCTTCATTTCCTAAATTAGTCATGCATCTGGAGTGCTCACATTAACAAGGCCAGCATGCCTCTTAAATTAAGTATTAATTTAACTTTAATTAAGTATTTATTTAAATCAACAAGGAACTATAGTACAGAAAAGCAAGCTTTTCTGCTGAAAGCAGTGGATTACAAGTTAGAGATAGGCGTAAACAGAAACAATTGACTGGAGTTAGCAACAGCCTTTGAGCCTTTCCACTGAAAAGGGCTTTGTAAAGGATAGTCCAGATTCACTTGGGATACCTCCTTGCCTTTAGCTGATTATCTAACAAGTCAGTGATATAGAAATATATAATATCATAAAGCACTGTAGCTGTGGTAGGCTGTAATTAGTGATTAAAGCATCATGCTGGTAACTCAGTTAAAGATCCAGGCCAAAGCACACAGAGCTTTAACTGTGGGTGTTCTTATATGAGTTAAGACCCTACAGCTGGAAGTGCATTTAGGACACAGCTGGGGTATCACCTCATTCAAACATCCAAGTGTATCTCTCTATCTAAAGGACTGGGAATGGGTCCATTTACTTTCAGAGTTCAGGGAGGTAAACCCGATGCTTTCACCTTGTAGCTGTCTCAAAATCTCATTAGAAGGTTTGGGAAAAGGCATGAGAAAAACCTTTCCCTCTAGCAAAGGATGACACTTTGTGTCAGGTGTGTAAGGTTTTGAGGATCAGGGGAAATATTTACACAGTCTAAGGCAGAGGTGTAAGCTGGGAGGCTGGGTTGCCTCATACCTTATCTCCCAGCAGTCAGCAAAGTGTGCAGACTGACAATTTAGGACAAGGCACGTCTTCCAGGACTGTATTGCAGCCAGATGGACTTTCTGAGTTATGCAGGAAATGGAAATAAATCCCAACCCCTCATTTCTGTGGAAGTGCCCTTTAGAAGAACTGTAAACCCCTCGAATATTTTGGCTCATGAAAGCCACTCTTTTACTTT